ACTGAATAACATTACTAGGTATATATTGATACCCCACATTTTCTTCATCCATGCATTACTGATGGACACTTACAATGCTCCTATGTTATGACTATTGTAAATAATGCCAAAGTCAACATAGAAGTGCATATACCTTATTGAGATAGTGATTGCATTTGCTTGAGTGGCTGGGTCATATGATAGTTTTACTTTTACTATTTTAAAGAATCTCCATAGTGTTTTCTGTGGTGACTGCACCAATTTACAGTCCCACCAAAGTTCACAAGGGTTTCTTTTATTCCACATCCCTGCCAACAATTTGTTACTTCTTATATTCTTGATAACAACCATTCTAATAGGTGTTAGGTGATATCTCATTATTTTGTTTCTGCATTTCTGTCATGATTAGTGATGTTGAGCATCTTTTCATGTACCTGTTGGCTATTTGTATGTCTTTGGAAATATGTCTATTCAGTTTCTCTATGTATAATTTTAATTGGATTGTTTGTTATTTTGCTATCGAGTTACATGAGTTCTTTACATATTTTGGATATTAACTGCTTATCAGGAATATAATTTGTAAGTTACCTTTTCATTTTGTTTACAGTTTCCTTTGCTATGCAGAAGCCTTTTATTTTGGTATTGTCCCACTGGTTTATTTTGCTTTTGTTGCCTTTACTTTTTGTGTTATATCTAAAAAGTTATTGCAATGACCAATGTCGAGGAACTTATCTCCTATGTTTTCCTCTTAGAAGTTATATAGTTTCAGGTATCACATCTAAGTTTTCAATCCATTTTGAGTTAATTTTTGTGTATGGTGTAAGGGTGTTGTGTATGTGTGGGGGTCCAGCGTTCTTGTTTTGCATGTGGCTTTCCAGTTTCCCCAACAACATTTATTGAAAATAGTGTCCTTTCCTCATTGCATATTCTTGCCTCCTTTGTCTTAAGTTAATTGACCATATAGGTGTGAGTTTATTCCTGGGCTCTCTATTCTGTTCCATTGATCTGTGTGTCTGTTTTTATGCCAAGAGTATACTGTTTTGATCACTATAGCTTTGTAATATGATTTCAAATCAGGAAGTGTGACACCTCTAGCTTTGTACTTGTTTTTCAAGATTGCTTTCGCTATGTTGGGTCTTTTATGGTTTCACACAAATTTGAGGATTCTCCTGTGAAAATTACTAAGTACTGTTGGAATTTTTATAGGGATTGCACTGAATCTATAGATTGCTTTGGGTAGTGTGGACATTTTAACAATGTTATTTCTTCCAATACATGAGCATGAAATATCTTTCTATTTGAGTCTTCTTCAGTTTCTTTCAGCAATCTCTTTAGTTTTCAGTGTACAGATGTCTCATTTCCCTAGTTAAGTGTATTTAAGTATTTTATTCCTTTTGATGCAATGATAGATGGGGTTGCTTTCTTAATTTCTCCTTTTAAATAGTTTTATGGTTTTATTTTTTTATTTTTATTTTTTTACAAATAGTTTATTGTCAAATTAGTTTCCACATAACACTCAGTGCTCATCCCCAAAGTGCCCTCCTCCATGCCCAACCCCCCTCCCCCCCACATCCATCAGTCCTCAGTTTTTGTCAGCATTCAAGAGTCTCTCATGGTTTGCCTCTCTCCTTTTCCCCCACCATTTCCGCCCTTCTTCTCCCCCTTGTTCCTCCGTCAAGTTCCTCCTAATCCTCCTATACGTGCAAACATATGATATTTGTCCTTCTCTGCCTGACACAAATATGAGATGCATATAAGATGTCTATTCATTTTCTTCACTGTGCAGTGTGGCATTGGAGTTGGTGACTCTGATGGCCAGCCGAGCTGCTCTTTCCATAATGACTTCATAGTTCTTGGAGGAGACAGTGTGAGCAATCTCTGCACAGTAAGATTTGCTGAACATCAGTAGCACTTTGAGCTCCTTGATATTGTGGACTAGGAATTCTGGAAGCCACTGAGCAGCATGTACTTTGCTTTCTTGTTGTTTCCTTGACCAATGTTGGACATCAAGATCTGGCCGTTGAATCTTTTGTGCACCCTGTTGCCAAAGTCTCTGGGTTTCTGCCAGTTGCACTTAATTTTGACATATTGAATGTCTGGTGCCAGATGAACTTCTTGGTCCTCTTTTTAATGATCTTGGGCTTCACCAGAGGTCTGAGAGTGGTCATGATGCCCAGTAGGAGATGGCTGCCACTTTTTCAGGTAACACTGAGGAAGAAAGCTTAATTTTTCCTTCAGATAGTTGATGTTGGTGTATAAGAATTGCAACTGATTTTTTGTTTTGATTTTGTATACTACAGCTTTACTAAATTCCTTTATTACTTCTAGTAGTTGTGTGCGTGTGTAGTCTCTATGATTTCATATATATATATATAATATGTCATCTGCAAATAGAGACAGTCTTAATCCTTCCTTTCCAATTTGGATGATTTAATTTTTTCTTGCCTAATGCAATGGGATGGACTGCCAATACTATGTTAAATAAAAGTGGCAAGAGTGGGTATGCTTGTCTTGCTCCTTATCTTAAAGAGAAAGCTTTCAGCTTTTCACCTTTGAGTATCATGTTAGCTGTGAGATGGCCATGAATGGCCTTTATTATACTGAGGTCTTTTCCTTCTATACCCACTTTGTTGAGAGTTTATATCATAAATGAATGTTGACTTTTGTCAGCAGGTTTTTTTCCCGCATTTATTGAGGTGATCATATGACTTTCATCCTGAATTTTGTTGATGTGGTGTATTATATTGATTGACTAGCAGATGTTGAACCATCCCTGGAAGAAATTCCACCGATGATGATGTGTGATTCTTTTAATACATTCCTTTAATCTATGGTTAAATTCAGCTTGCTACTATTTTTTTAGGATTTTATCATCTATGTTTATTGGGGTCATTGGTCTTTAATTTTCTTTTCTTGTAGTGTTCTTGTCTGATTTTGGTTTCAGGTTAATACAGGCCTCATAAAATAAGTTTGGAACTGTTCTTTTCTATTTTTTTCGGAAGAGTTTGAGAAGGATTGGTAATAATTTTTCTTTAAATGTTTGGTAAAATTTGCTAGTGAAGCTACCTGCTTCTGGACTTTCATTTGTTGGGTGATATGATTATTGTTTCAATTTGCTTACTGATAACTGGTCAGTTCAGATTTTCAATTCCTTCATGATTCAGTCTTCATAGGTTGTGTGTTTCCAGGAATTTTCCCATTGCTTGTAGGTTGTTCAAATTTTGGCATATATTTTTTCACAGTAGTCTCTTATGATCAGTCATATTTGTGTGTTATCAGTTGTAATGTCTCTTCTTTAATTTCTAATTTTATTCATTTGAGTCCTTTCACTTTTTTCTTTATAAATTTAGCTATAGGCTTTCTATTTTGTTCATCTTTTCCAAAAAATGGCACTTAGTTTCATTGATCTTTTCTATTATCTTTTAGTCTCTATTTCATTTATGTCTGCTGTGATCATTGTTCTTTCCCTCCCTCTAAAAATTTGAGTATGGTTTGTTCTTTTTCTAGTTTGTTGAAGTGTAAAAATTAGGTTTTTTTAATTTGGCATCTTTCTTTTGTGCAGCTGACACAGAAGCTGGCATGCCAGACACGTGTACAACCTCATTCCAGTGAGGCAGTGGTAACCTGCAATGGCCGAAAATGTGAACATGAAAATGGTACCCACTGGCCTCCCTGGACTCCAGGGAGGATTGCAGTCTATTGCTAGATTTGTGCTGAATTTGAAGCCTGATCCTTGGGGAGCAGCTTTTAAAGTATGAAAATAGGCCTCTTTAAGGGACAGACTAGGGGATGGGCATTTCTGTCTGCTGCCTATGTGTTGAGCCTTGGGAGGCTAACCAGGTAGGAAGACCTTACATTTGTTATCTATCAAAGGCTAAATATGAGAGTGAAAGTAACCAGGTGAATATTTAAAACATATTTTTTTAGGTTGATTCGTTTTTGAGAGAGAAAGAGAGAAAAGGAGAGCGAGCATGAGTGGGGGAGAGGCAGAGAGAGAGGGAGACACAGAATCCGAAGCAGGCTCCAGGCACTGAGCTGTCAGCACAGAATCTGATGTGGGGCTCGAACTTGTGAACCACGAGATCATGATCCCAGGCAAAGTTGGACGCTTAACCGACTGAGCCACTCAGGTGCCCCAACCAGGTAAATATTTTTAAAGACCAAGAAGAAAGATAATTTGGTCATGAATCAAATACTTTCACATAGTTAAACTTTATAATAGGATGCAGGTATTGGTGGTTATATTCCTTTTTTTTTTTTTTTTTTTTTTAAGTTTATTTATTTTGAGAGACAGCGAGCACGAGCGGGGAAGGGGTGGAGAGAGAGAATCCCATGCAGGTTCACCATGTCAGCACAGATCCTGACCTCGGGCTCCAACTATGAACCATGAGATCAGGATCTGAGCTAAATGAAATCCAAGAGCTGGATGCTTAACTGACCGCGCTACCCAGGGTGCCCCCTGGTGGTTGTATTTCTAATTCCACACACATCACTGAACAATGAAAGAACTGGATGAAGGCCCACACTTGCTATGTCCTTAGGTAAGGAGAGATGCTGAAGCTGTGTGCACAGTAAGAGCCAAGGAGAATTTGTGATCTCCTGAAAACAAAATGGATGAGTAAATCATTTTACACAGTTTTCAGTGTTGAATAGTTTCTTTACCAAAAGACAACACTACAAAATTCTGTCCCAAAGTGAAGTTAAAATATTCTGAGTATTTGTATAAAAATAGTGATATTATAGCAATATTTTTAAAAAATTTTATGTTTATTCATGTTTTGAGAGAGAGACAGAGCGTGAGTGGGGGAGGGGCAGAGAGAGATGAAGACACAGAATCCAAAGCAGGCTCCAGATTGATTGATGGGGGGCTCAAACCTGTGAACCACAAGATCATGACATGCGCCTACTTAAGGTTCTCATGTCCGTGCCTAATGTTTGAAACACAATTAAACTCAATAACTTTGGGGGGGGGGTTAAGGAATTTTGATTACAATAATAAATTTCAATAAATATCCCTACAGTTTTACATTTATTTTATTTTATTGTCAGTTTTTCTGTTGGCATGACATATTTATAACTCTTAAATAGGCAGTAAATCTCTTGAAAGCAAATTTTGGTCTGAGAAGCTAAATTGTGTGAAGTCATTTTGTCACAGGCAGAAGGGAACCTTACATAACAACTTGCTTGAATAAATTGGAGGAGTCCCATGTATGAGGCACACCAGCTTGAGGCCTCTCAGATGCAACTACTCCGTTTTCCCCTTCTTTCCCATTTTTGCAAACTTCTGGCAACAAAACAGACAACATTTTGTGGTGATAAATATCGCAGTGGCCACACAGGCCAGCAGGAACCCGATCACATCCAGAGAGTGGTACTGGACCCAGCTGAGGTCATGGGAGGCTGGCCGAAGGTGTTTGGCTCCTTTGTGGCGCATGACAAACTCGATCCAGAAGACTGCTCGATCCAAGGGCTTTGTAGGCTGATCATGGTGAATTCTTGATAACCTCATAGCATTCTCTTTATAGCTAAAGGAGAAACATAAAGATGTCAACATTGAAAGGACGTCAATTTGCCTAATCATATCCTTCCCACTAAAGGTTTTTGAAAAGTGTCATGAAAATGATTCAAAGTAAATGTCATAGAATTATAGAAGTAGTTATGTTTTTTATGTGGGTCCTCATAGGAGAGTTGGCTTTTAAAGTGGAATTTTCTGGGCCACCAATATTTTAAAATATGAAAATGGAAGTTAGGTTGGCATAGTTTAATCTTTTTGAACAGAGAAAATGATATGAGCCATGGTAACAGCTATAGCTGAGATGGTGGAAGTGCACTTCTAGAATGATCCTCATGAAGGAGTCAAGGGAATTGTGTCAGGGTGAGATGCCACCTTTCCAGTCCCTGTACTTCCATCCTTCTACCCTCTACTCTCTATTTTTCATCATGTAGCCAGTCTGATGTTTGAAACAGACATCAGATCATGACACTCTCCTGCTCCAAATTTTCATCTGGCTTCTCATCCCATTTAGAATGAAATCCAAATATGGCATTTGCACTCTAGGATCTTATAGGAACAGGCCCTGTCAACCTCTTCTCCTGTCACTTTGTCCCATGCACACTCTGCTGCAGGCACACTTGCCTGCTAGCTGGTCATTGAAGTTACCAAACGTGTTCTCATCTCAGCCCCTTTGCACTTTCTGTTCTCTCTGTCTCTCTGCTGGACGCTCTTCCCTGCAACACCCCAAGGCTGCTTTGATCTCCTGATGGATGCCCCAGCTTTGTGTCCCATCTCAGAGAGGCTTTTCCTGGCCACATAATCAGAGCACCCTTAGACATTTGTTCTATTTTGTCTGTGTGCGTGCGTGTGTGTGTGTGTGTCTATTTTGCCACTTGAATTCTAGACTTTGAAAACATGTTATATTTTCCATAAAATAATTTCAGTATATTACATAAGAAAGATGCACATCATCTAAGTGATGGCTCATAAATTCAAACTTAGCTAGAAAAGTATTGTGAAGTGGATGAAATAATGTACCTACTACTAAGGAACTGGTGTAGGGTATCACGAGCTACTGAGAAGCACCATCTTCTGTGACCTTTTTAGTCACTATTCCCTTCCCTGAATTAACTACTGTCCTAACTTTTAACACCATAGATTGGTTTTTATTAATTATATATTAGAATAATAAAGCAATATTATATATTGGAATCATAAAGTAGTCTTCATTTCATTTTGTTTTTTGTGTGTAAAGGTGTTGGTTAATTCTGTTGGTGTATATATAGTATTCCATTGTATGACAATACCACAGATTATCTAGTTATTTAATGGTCAGTGGACATTTGTGTTAATATTTTTTTTGGCCATTACTACTGATACTGTCATAAAAATTGTGTATTTTTTTTGATTTACATGTTTATACAGTTATGTTCATATGTATGTAGAAGTGGAATCACTGAGATGAAGGTGTATTTATGATTACGATTTCTTTATTGACTGAATTATGTAGAAGTATATTGCTTAATTTCCAAAATTTAGAGATATTTCAGTTAACTTTCTCTTTGATGATTTGTAAGTGAATTCCAGTAAGGCTGGACAATATACTCTTAATGATTTATATCTTTTCAATTTAATCTTGGTATGGCCCAGCATGTGGTTAATTCTGGTATCACTTCCATTTTCCTTTCTTTTTTTTATTTGTAGTGATTTATTTTTGAGAGAGACAGAGTGTGAGTCAGGGAGTGATGGAGAGAGAGAGAGACACAGATCCAAAGCAGGCTCCAGGCTCTGAACAGTCAGCACAGAGACTGATGCAGGGCTCAAACTCATGACCTGAGCTGAAGTCAGATGCTGAACCGACTGAGCCACCCAGGTGCCCCAGTATCTTTTCCATTCTTGAAAAATATGCATTCTCTGTTGTTTTATATATAATGACATATATATATGATAACTTGCATTTTTCAATTGTGTTCATCAAAACATTTTAGTATTTATCCATTATTTTGTCATCTTTTTCTATATTATTGAGAAAGAGGTTTAAAAACTCAATATTATGACCAAAGATTTGTATATTTGTTTGTTCTTTTGTCTCCTTTTGTTGTATTTTGATGTTTTATTAGTAGGTGTCATCAACTGGTAATTTGAATTGTTTTGAAAGAATGGTCTATTTATCATTATGGAATACTTAACCTTTATTTTTATTTTTCAAAAAAATTGTAGTGTTTTTATTTCTTTCTGAGAGAGTGAGAGAGACCGCGTGAGCAGGGAAGGATCAGAGAGAGGTCTGGAGACACAGAATCTGAAACAGGCTCCAGGCTCTGAGCCAGCCATCAGCACAGAGCCCGACATGGGGCTCGAACCCAGAAACCGTGAGATCACGACCTGAGCCGAAGTGGACACAAAATAATTAACCTTTATTTTTAGTTGTGATTCTGGACTACTGTGTCCGCTATTAGTTTAGGTACAACATCTTTCTGTGGTTACTGCTAAAATCGATTATTTCCTGCCTTCACATTTACAGTCTTCTTGTACATTTCTATTTGAACATGTCTTATAAACAGTATATAGTGTTTAAAATGTATCCTGATAATCTTTGTCTTTAAATGATTTAGTCTGTTTAGATTTAATGTAAGTTCTGGCATATTTATATTTTCATCTACTATCTTATTATCTGTTTCATTTTCCATGTGTCCAACCTACGTTATAGTTCTTGCTTGTTTTAAAGTATTTTTATTATTCAATTGTTTAACCATTTTCTTCTCAATAATATATTTTTTAGTATTTCTTTAGATGATATCTTCCTAATGTAATAATAATACTGATAGTGGTAGTAAATACTGAATTCATGGTTGCTGAGCTAGGCACTACAAATTCTGTCACAATATTTTTCTCTAAAATATAGAGCATTTTGATATTTATTTTATCACATTTAAAAACTTTGGTGCTTCAGAGGACACAATCAAGAAAATGAAAAACCAACCCAGCTACAACGGGGAAAATATAACAAACCATACACCCTCTAATGTACTATATCTGTAACACATAGGGAATTCTTTAATGAGACAATCAAATTTAAAAATTATCAATATTTGGAATAGACATTTCCCTAAAGAGGATATGTAAATGGCAAGAAGTATATGAAAAGATGTTTAATAATTTTGGCTCTAAGGGAAGTGCAAATCAAGACCACAAGGAGAGAACACTTCATAACCACTAGGATGACTATAGTTAAAAAAATTATAGCAATTGTTGGTAATGATGTGGAGACCTTGGATCTCTCAAATGCAGCTGGTGGAAATGTAAAAAGGTGCAACCTATTTGGACATCAATTTGGCAGTTCCTCATAGTGTTAACATATGACCCAGCACTTCTATTCCTAGATGTCTACCCAAAAGAAATGAAAACTTTTGTTCACATGTGTAGTGTTATTTATAATACCTAAATGTGGAAATAACCAAAATGTTCATGAACTAATAAATGGATAAGTAGATGTAGCATATCCATACCATAGATTATTATTTAGCAATACAAACTACCATAAGACTGATATTCAGAAACACTCCAAGTGGAAGAAGCCACAGGCAAAAGGCCTTATAGTGTGTGATTCCATTTGCCTGAAATATCCATAATATAGTAATTTATAGAAACAGAAAGTAGATTAAAGTTTATGTAAGGCAGGGGGAATGGTAAGTGACTTCTAAGGCATATGTGATCTCTTGGACTCATGAAAATGTCTCACAATTAGATTATGGTGATGGTTCCATAATTCTGTAACATACTAAATATATTTGATTTCACACTTTAAATTTTGTGCTACATAAATTACATATTTTAAAATATATTAAAATAATAACAATCAATTTTTGAGCAGAAGGATTTATAGTTTTGGAAATTTTTGGTCCTGAATTGAAATGATTTACCGAACTTCAAGTTCTTCATTTCTTCATTCTACGGGTTCTATTATATTTTTAAAAAGGTATTCTTCTTACAGTTACCTATATAATGTTTCCATTTGCTCATGTAGAAAATTGTTACAAGAGGTGGTTACCCATTAAATCAACAGGGTTAAAATGCAACGTTGAAATAAATGTCTGGTTGAAAATAAAAAGTAGATTTAAGATCAGTTAAATCATGTTAAAATTTCAAATGAGCCTCTTAAAAAAAGGATGAAACTCATACTCAGTGTAGACAAAAAAAACCTATGTATAAATACAATCTTTTTAAAAAATTGTAATACTCACGAAGGGTCATTAATGATTGTCCTCAATGCAGTGAGCAAATCTCTACTAGACATTGTGTGGAAGTCCAGTCTTACAGCGGCTCCCTTGGCCTTCATGTGAGCAATGTTATGAGGTTGATCCGCAAACAAAGGTATGCCCACCATGGGGATCCCATGGGAGATTGCCTCATAGATGCCATTGGTTCCACCATGAGTTATAAAGGCTTTGGTTTTTGGATGACCTGGGTAATTGGATGAATGACAGTACATTATTGGGTATAAGTCTTAGAAGAAAAATGAGATTTGGGCAACATAAGACACATATTATTATACATCTGAAATGGCATTAAAATATCTTTCAGATCCCAGAGCAAGAAGTACATAAATCCACTGGAGAGGTAAATGAAAATTGATCTGCTACTTGTGACTTGAAAAACGAATGCAGGATTGTTGGACAGACAAATTGAAAGAGAACTTTCTGTATAAAGAATAGCATGTGCAGAAAAAGAGAAAAGGAGGTGGCATGTTAGAACATATTCTCTTAAAGAGACAATAAGTCACCAAGTTTAACATGTAGGTGTCTAGGCAGCAGGAAATATGGCGGTGGTGCCTCAAATAAGGGGAAAACAAGACTGTACCTTATCATGAAATGTGTTATGACAGGCATTTTCCTAGAGAACATAGTCACTGGTAATAAAAGAGAGGTTTTATTTATTCAGTGGTGCCGAATAGCCATGCAGACGGAGAAAGGATTGGAGTAAGTTGGGAGAATTAGGAGACCGAGTGATGATCTGGTAGTTATTCAAAAATGATCTGTGGGAAGTAACTACACTTGAAATAAAGAAACTTTGATTCTGGCCATAAGGAATGTGCCTGTGTATAATAACATGCCAACTGTTGCGTCTTATTGTTTTCACCCCAGGACTGCAAAAGAAATGTAAAGAAGTTAAGTTTTATTTTTGAGTTTTTCGATAATAAATGCTCAACAAATTTGCTTCTTGGTGAACTATTATTATTTTGCTTAGAGTTACTTTCAATTCAGTGGTTTCCAGATTCTTACCAAGAAGATCATTCTGGGGGATCCAATCATACAGCCGAGTATTTGGCCCTAAGGTGTCTGGTTTCTTGCCTTCAAATCTCCACAGAACCTGTTGAAGGAAATACCTTATTTCATGAGTTGAACTTTGAAGTTATAACGTGTTAGCATTTTAAAGAAATTAAGAGATAATCTAGTTAAACACCTTTAATTGATTGATAACCGAGAGGACAAAGGATATTAAAAATGAGAGAACTAAAAAACAGTGGTATAATAAGAATACCCACATTTTGTTATTTTTGTATTCAATCAAGTATGAATGTAATCATGATGTTTCACATAGAGATTTGACAAATGAGACTATCAATGATAAATTCAAATAGTTAAGACATTTTTAGGCAGTTATAATTCTGGTATAGACAAAAAGGAAATTACTAAGATATACACATTTGTTTTGTCTTATCTATTATAATTACTTTCACTTTCCAATGTAATACTAACCTATTTATTTCTTTTTAAGTGTTACAGAAGGGAGTTCACTTGTATCTGCTTGTTCCATAAGTTGTTTTATTAGAGTTTTACATCTTTTGATATATAAAAAAGCTAACTATGCAATCTACTCCTTGTGAGAAATAAATAAGTCTACTTAATAATAATTTATTGGGGCGCCTGGGTGGTTCAGTCGAGTAAGCGTCCAGCTTCGGGTCAGGTTATGATCTCGGGGTTAGTTGGTTCGAGCCCCCCATTGGGCTCTGTGCTGATAGACAGCTAGCTCAGAGCCTGGAGCCTCCTTCAAGTTCTGTGTCTCCCTCTGTCTGTGAACTTCCCCTGCTCTCTCTCTCTCTCTGTCTCTCTCTCTCAGAAATAAATAAGAAAACATTTAAAAATGTAAAAAAATAATTTATTAATATAAATAATTTCTTCTTAGTACATTTATCTTTTAGATTATTAATTGTTAAATACTACTTTCAGAGAAAAAGTGTAATTTCTTACATGAATTCAGACTATTATTACTATTTCTTGGCTTGAAAGTTTTTTAGAATGTGGAAAGAAGAGCCTGTTGGCACTTCATAAATAACAGTGTGGCTGTTGAAACAAATCCCAAACTGTGATGATGCTAAATTTTGTTTAACTAATTGTTAGCACTTCAGTGATACATTACAGAGTACTGACAGCATTGATTAAGATGTGATCCATACCCAAGCAATTTCCATTTCCAGTACCAAAATACTGATTTTATAATTCCCCAGCAACCCTCGTAAACTGGATTATAATTTATATTGGATGGTATATGTTTGCTATGTGAATATTAAAATAACTTTGGATATTAAGCAAATATTAGCATAAGGAGAAACTATATCAGTACACTAAAAAGTACTTCACAAATACCCAAATACTCCAAATGGATATTATATATTGAAAAATAAGTTTTATATTTTTATATATACTACTGTATTGTATATAGAAAGAGGCATCTGAAACTTTCCCATGTTAGGCTTGACTCCTTAATATATTTCCTTCACTTCTCTCGGTCAGGAGGAGTTATTATCCTAATAGGTTAGAGTCCTTTCAGAACCACGTATTTCTAAGCATGGGATGACCTTGACAGATGGACCCATCTTCCCCCTTTTCATACATCTTTCTTTTTCACTCTTAATAGGGCCCACTCCACCAGGTATGCCAGTTTTTCTCTCTCTGTAAATCATCTTGGCTGGATGAACACCTAGACATAGCTTGGTGAAAGATGGCCATCCTTTCTCTGAACAGCACACTGAGTAGTCCTATTGCAAAATGTAGGGGAAGGAAAAGAAACCTAGATTTTTCTGGCAAGCTTAAACTGCATGATACTTTCTGGACTTTTATCAATTCCTTCTTAACATAACTGTTTAAATTTAACTTGTTTCTGAGAACATCTATGAGGTATTCAGTGACCTCAGAAATCCAGACAGGAAAGGAGCAAATGACTAGATGGAATTTGGCAATTTCTGTACCTGCCCACAATACATTATAATACCAAACATTATTACACTGTACCTTCTATCTATCTATCTATCTATCTATCTATCTATCTATCTATCTATCTATCTATCATCTACCTATCTATCTCCCTACCTACCTATCTAATCTGTCTATCTATCATCTGTATCTGATCTCAGTGTTAATGCCAAAGTTATTATTCATCAAAACACCTTCTGTACTACTTTAGCATCTGCCATGTATATTTTAGTATGAACTCGTATCTGAGATAAATTGGAGCTATCATAATGGTTTCCGTGTCATAAAGGAAAGGGTAATCACACCTTTTACAGAGTTTAACAGACTCATTAAGTAGTGGTATACGATTAAGTTACTTTAGCTAACCTTTTGTGGAATCTGGGCAAGGGCTGATGCAATCATGTTGGCTCTTTCTTCTGAAATGTTACGGACCATTGACCCTAGAGTAAACACCACAATACCATTTTCTCCAGAGCTCTGGGCAAACTCTTCCATTTCCTGTGAAGAAAGAATTTGCTCCATCACAAAAGAGGAAGTGCATAGTAAACACTGCTGAAAGAATTTCTACAAACAGCTAAAGAGAGATCTTAAAAATTACCAGGAATTATTAAGGAAATGCCTGTTTTATCTTTAATTTGTGGCAAAATACACATAAAATTTGCCATGTTAATTATTCCTGAGTATGCAATTCAATAGTATCTTTATGTACATTGTTGGGCAACCACTTACCAGAACTTTTTCAACTTGTAAACCTGGAACTCTGTACCCATTATATAACAATTCCAAATTCCCTCCTTCACCATCGTTAGCAGCAATCATGTAGTATCGTATTTCTTCTATACATCTGACTAGTCTGAATACTCCTATCAATGGAATCATCAGTATTTGTCTTTTCGTGATTGCCTCTTCTCACTTTGCATAACATCCTCAAGCTTATCCATGTTGGAGTATGTGTTAGAATTTTCTTCAATTTTTCCGACCAATATTCTACTGTGTGTAAATACATTTTGTTTATGGACTTATCTGTTGATGGACACTTATGTTAGACTGAATAAAACTTGTACTGATTTTACCTCAGGCTTTAGACTTTGAGAAAGTTACCATATATGCCTAAGCACTTTGCAGTCAAAATCAGTATTGGGTTAACCATCAAATAAGATCTTAGTTTCAACTTGTTGCCAATAAGAAGGCAGACAAACAAGATGTTGAAGAGCCCACAGAATAATTCAGTAGGGAGTGCTCGTTTTTCAATTATGTCTTAAAGATATGATATCAACTTAAAACATATTACATTATTGATTTCTTTAGTAGAGAATATCATTCTATATGCTAACAGAACCCTTCTGCAATTTTATACTATGGATGTTTTTTAGATATAAATGGTAGAAATTATTTGGTCTTTGTTAAATATGCAGAATTTATGATCCTTATTGTATACACAGTATAGATTTTCTCTGTGCCCAACTTGTCAGTCAGCTGTAATGTTGAGAACCATGTTCCCCAACAGATCTTTACTGAGATTTTTTTCCCCAGCCTTGGTGTGTGGCAGAAAACACATGCTCTAATTGACTAAGCAGAACTTTTCATGCTCTAAGATGTCAAACCTTGGGATCTCAAATGAGGAATTGTGCAAATGTTGTGGTGATGGCAAGTAAGCATTGGATTTGCCTGCAGATAGTGTTGGGGCACACAAACGTATTGTTGAAGAAGGATCTTCCTAAGCTAGAATACTGGTGACGTGTCTCAGAGCAAATAAAAGAAACAAGAATTAGTTACCCTAGGCAGGGGTTTGGCAGGTTTGCAGTGGAGGCCGCCAACAAATTCAAAATGTGGCAGGACTGGGCGAGGAAATTCAAAATCCCAGTAGGTTCGAATGAGCCATAGGTCAGCTTTCCTCATTAACTCAGAAAATGTAGTGGGTCTTCCTGAAGGGAAAAAAGCAAATAGGTCACATCAATGAGAATAGGCTAGTTCTTAGAGGGGGAAAACTTATACCGACATATTGATCTATTGTAGTAATGAACAATAAAATTACAGTTTCCATTTTTCTAGCCTTAATGTTCTAAAAACTTGTCAATGATTTTGTCAAAATTAATGTCTTTATATGTATGTTCAATAGACAATGCAATTAAAATAATCTGTTACCTTTTTCCTCATACTGTCATATCTTATTTTGCATTAAAATCTTATATATAACATATAATAATCATAATATATATTTTTCTAAAATAAAAAATTTATTCTGCTTCTAAAAAATAAGAGAAAAAATAAAAACCATATAATCATCTCCCTATATGCAGAAAAAGCACTTGACAAACACAACATCCATTCATGATAAAATCTCTCAACAAAGTTGGTTTAGAGGGAGCATACCTCAACAAAGTAAAGGCCTTCTATGGAAAACCCACAGTGAACGTCATACTCAATGGAGCAAAACTGAGAGCTTTTCCCCTAAGGTCAGGAGCAAGACAAGGACGTCCACTCTCACCACTTTTATTCCACATAGTACTAGAAGTCATAGCTCCTGCACTCAGACAACAACAACAAAAAATAAAAGGATCCAAATTGGTAAGGAAGTAGTAAAACTTTAATTATTTGCAAATGACATGCTATCATACAGAGAAAATATAAAGACTCCACCAAAAAGCTAGAACTAGAACTGAAATGAATTCAGTCAAGTCCCAGGATACAAAATGAATGTACAGAAATCTGCTGGATTTCTATACCCTGATAATGAGGCAGAAGAAAGAAATTGAGAAACAATCCTGTTTGCAATCGCACCAAAAATTATAAAGTACCTAGGAATAAACTTAACCGAGGAGGTAAAAGACATGTACTCTGAAAAACACTGATGAAAGAAATTGACAAGGACCCAAAGAAATGAAAAGATATTCCATGCTGATGGATTGGAAGAACAAATGTTGCTGTCAACACTACCCAAAACAGTTTACAGATTTAATGGAGTCCCTATCAAAACACCAACAGCATTTTTCACAGAGCAGGAACAAACAATCCTATAATTTGTATGGGACTACAAAAGACCCCGAATAGCCAAAGCAATCTTGGAAAAGAAAAAACTGGAGGTATCACAATTCCTGATTTCAAGTTATACTACCAGGCTGTAGTAATCAAAACAGTATAGTATTCACACAAAGACAGACACATAGATCAACGGAACAGCACAGAAAAGCCAGAAATAAACCCACAGTTATATGGTCAATTAATCTTTGACAAAACAGGAAAAAATATCCAATAGAAAGTCTCTTCAGCAAATGTTGGGAAAACTGGATAGCTACATGCAAACTGTAAAACTCGACCACTTCCTTACACCATACACAGAAATAAATTCAAGGTAGATTAAAGACCTAAATGTGAGACCTGAGAACATAAAAATTCTAGAGGAGAGCAAAGGCAATAATACGTCTGACATCAGCAGTAGCAGTATTTTTCTAGATACGTTTTTCTAGATATTTTTCCTGAGGCAAAGGAAACCAAAGCAAAAATAAACTATTGGGACTACATTAAAATAAAATAAACCTGCTTCACAATGAAGGAAACAATTAACAAAATTAAAAGGCAGCTTACTGAATGGGAGAAGATATTTGCGAATGACACATACAAGGAAGCATTAGTTATCCAAAATACGTAAGTAATTTGTACAATTAACATCTAAAAACCAAATAATCCAATTAAAAATGGACAGAAGACATAAACACACATTTCTTCAAAGAAGAAATTCAGATGGCCAACAGACACATGAAAAGATGCTCCACATTACTTTTCATCAGAGAAATACAAGTCAGAACTACATACAATGAGATACCACTTTACACCTTTCAGAATGGGTAAAATAAAAAACACAAAGTGTGGAGGTTTCTCAAAAATTTAAAAATAAAACCACCCTACAATCCAACAATTCTACTTCTCTTTCCCGAAAAATACAAAAATACTAATTTAAAGGGAAACATGTATGCATACGTTTTTAGAGCATTATGTATAATAGCCAAATATGGAAACAGCCCGAGTGTCCATAGACTTGAGTGGATAAAGAAGAATGATCTTGCAATTTGCAATGACATGAATAGAGCTACAGAGTATTATGCTAAGTGATATTAAGTCAGAGAAAGAACAATACCATATGATTTCACTTATGTATGGATTTAAGAAATGAAACAAATAAAGGACAAGGAGAGAGAGAGAGAGAGACAAACCAAGAAACAGACTCTTAAATGTAGAGAACAAAGTTCTGATTATCTGAGGAGAGGTGAAAGCGGGGGGGTGGGTGGTAAAATAAGTGATAGGGATTAAGGAGTGCACTTGTCATGAAGAGCACTGAGTGATGTATGGAATTGGTGAATCACTGTATTTTCACCTAAAACGAACCTAACACGTTAACTTATACTGGAATTAAAATAATAACTTAATAAAAAAAAAAGTAAGTAGGTAAGTAGCTAAGTAAGTAAGTAAGTAAATAAGCAAAAAAACCCACACCAAGTAACAGGTAGAAAAGACGAGAGTAATATAATGTCAATATACTAGGGAATTTTCTGAAAGGGGTTTGGAATAATTTAGCCAAAACAGTATAAGAGTGTGACTTAATAATGCACTCACACAACACATATATGATGCAAACATGTATAATGATGCAAATATATAATTACAAGGATATATGTTCATATATATATATAAAAGACAATGTTCAAGAGGCTCATTTCCTTTTTTTTTTTAACTTTTTAAAATATTTTTTATTTATTTCTTAGAGAGAGACAGCGTGAGCAGGGGAGGATCAGAGAGAGAGAGGGAGATACAGAATCTGAAACCAGCTCCAGGCTCTGAGCTAGCTGTCAGCACAGAGCCCGACGTGAGGCTCAAACCCCCAAACCATGAGATCATGACCTGGGCCAAAGTTGGACACTTAACCGACTGAGCCACCCAGGCACCCCACAAGAGGCTCATTTCTAACATCACAGTAGTACATTCACAATCATAAATGATTATTGAACCTAAGCACTATCAAATTAGACATGCATTTGTTTACTCTGAAATGCTGCAAAAGTAACACATGCAAATGTAAGCAACTATTTGAGCTTCCCAATCAATTAACCAATGGAAACACCTTTTGCTAGAATCCTGTGTAATTTCTATAATTTAGCAAGTTATTTCCTTGACCCTGGATTTCCCAAGGATACTGTGAGACTCTGAGGGTATGGCTTGATTCCTTGTGCTCTCCATTGCACTTGGTTCCTATTAGGAGCTCAATAAGGTTTGTGTATTAAGTAATATTTGCCAATAACAGCTGGAGCATTTTCATCAAGTATGGAAATACATATATGCGCTGTTAACTTTGGCTCATTTTGTCTTTAATGGAGTGGCATGGTTGTGTGTATGTCTACCCTTCACCAAAACTTAGGCCTTTAAAACACGATTCATAAGTCCTTGTGAAAGAATGTGTAATCATTAGAAACTTCATATTATAGTTCCTGAGTCTGGGATAGAGCCACCATATCTTCCAATTGTGAAGGAATCTTTCAGGTAATGTGACAAAACATTTTAATTTTTAAATGAGGAAAGTGAGGAGAAACAAATGGAAATAATGTCCATAAGCAGTTGTGCTAGAAATATGGAACTCTTCAATCTACATGTCTGTTTACATCAAGATAGTGAAATTTCTAATGCCTTTTTAAAGATTGCAAAATATAGTAAAATGGTTATGTAGAAAATCGGTGCAGCAGAGAGGAGTTTTAAGGCACTACTCTGATACAGTAGTAGTGGATACATGTGATTATAAGTTTGTTAAAACCCATAGAATGTACAACACCAAAAGTGAACTCTATTGTAAACTATGGACTTTGGATGATAATAATGTGTCACTATAGGTTCATCAGTTGTAACGAATGTACCATTCTGGTGGGAGATGTTGATAATGGGGGAACTTATGCATGTGTGGGGGCAGTAGTTATATGGGAAATCTCAAATAAATACACCGTGACTTAAAATTGTTCTAAAAAATAAAGCATATTGTAAGTAGTGTTTTCACCCTGCATTTAATAAACATAGGAAGGATTAAACACTTTACCCAGAAAAACATTTTTTAAATATTAAAAGCAAGCAAATAATAGATACATCATTGCTCCAAGAAATCCTCAGGTCTTCAATTTGTGGTTATTAACTTCCTGGAGTGTAATGTATTAATACTGGACCACAGGTTCAAACTGACCCTCCTGCATGCCTTTCCACAATATTTGTGAGATTGAGAGATCATTTTATATTTTCATTTTATCCTTTCTCTTATAAAAGACAACTTCCTCTGACTTTATCCAAACATGCCTCCAAGAAACAAGGAGAATTAAGACTTCATGCTACCAGTTAAAAATATGACTTACCTAGTACTTCACTGTAAAACTGATCCCATCTCTTCTCATCGAATGTTTGGAACCAAAAGTCAAAGTAAAGTACATATATCATATTTTTAACTCTCTCCATGAATGTCATTTGATCGCTTAATTCTGACATAATAACAGGTACATAGGAGGGAGGGAAAGGAAGCCCTCCTCTATACTTTTCAAATGCATAGCCTGGAGAGAAGCGGAGACTGTACACTAAAGGTATTTTAAGTAGTTCAGCTATCAGCTCGCCACACGGTCCAACGGGATCTGCAAGCATGACATCAAACTTTGATTCTTGTAGTTTTTTCATGAGTTTCTTGTTCAACACTGCATCTTTACAGAGCTTTTCAATGAAGTGAGAATATTCCCAGAAGGCTTCTTGCATTTGTGAAAAATATGCCCAAAATGTATCTTTTGGCATATCGTAAATCCATTCCGTGATCCGTCTTTGGAAGAGATTCTCAAAATCATTTTTCAATAAATGTGCATGATAAACCTCAAAATTAATAGGAGATGATTTGCTTGGACCAACAAGAATGGAACTTGAAGATGTCAGAACAGTCACTTCATGACCTCTCTGGACAAGTTCATCCAGAATTGTCTTTATATTGATCCAGTGGCTGTATTCTGTGGGCCACACCAGCACCTTTCCACAGCTCGCAGAGCTAAAGTAGCAGCTCAGATGTAGCAGAAGCACAACTGAAATCCATTTCATAGACATCCTAGTGGAATGCAATGCTTCTTTTCAAATTCCTGTTTCCTTCTACCGTCGCTTGTTCTAATATCCAAGGAGAAATCAATCAAGAAGTTAAAATATAACGCTTACATTCAAAGTAAATACATCATACGAACAGTCAGAGCATTTGGATGGCATGTGGACAAAGCTAAAGGCAGATGACTTCATTGGTATACACGTGCTTAATGTCTCTTTGATGATTATAAGTTCTATTATCTAGCTAAGAGCCAATGACCTTGCACATGCAAATCACCTGCCTTATGTAATATATTTTGGAAGAGGCAAGAGGTAACTGTGTCTGCAGTCTTCTTGACACAGGAATTAAAGTCATTATACAGGTGGATTATATTTCTTAGATACGGTGGGTCAAGGGATTTTTTGGTTTTGTTCATAGGAAATTTGTTGACATGTAATTCACATACTATACAACTGCCAAATTTAGAATGTACAGTTTAGTGTTTTGTAGTCTACTCACAAAATTGTGTAACCACCCTGCACAAAACTGATCAATTTTAGAGCACTTTCTTCACCCCAAATGGAAACCTTTACGCTCTAATGAAGCTCTCCATTTTCTGAATCTCTCAGCCCTAGCCAACATTTTATCTGCTTTCTGTCTTATATAATGCCTCTTCTGAGCATTTCATGGAAATGAAATGATACATTATGTTGTCTTTTGTGCTGGCTACTTTAATTAACATAATGCTTTATTTAAAAGATTTGTTTTCTGACTTTATTGAGATACTGATATAACATTGTGCAGGTTAAAGATGTACAACATGTTGAGAAATGATTATTCCATAAGATTAGTTATGGAATCCCTCACGTCACAAATTGTTTTTGTGGTATGGACTTTTTAAAAGTAATTTTTTATTGAAGCAAAGCTGACACTCAATGTTATATTAGTGTTAGGTTACAACATAGTGACTCAACAAGTTATCTGTTATGCTATGCTCACCACAAAGGTAGATTCCATTTGTGACCATACGGAGCCACTGCAATAACTTTGACTATATTCCCTATGTTGTACCTTTTATCCTCCTGACATTCATTCCATAACTGGAAGCCTGTATCTCCTATTCCCTTTCACTCATTTTGTCTTCCCCTTTCCCCTCTTTTTTCTAGCAACCATCGTTTCCGTGTATTTTTTAGTCGTTCTGCCTTTTTTGTTTGTTCATTCATTTGATTTGTTTTTTAGATTCCACATATAAGGGAAATCATATGGTATTTGTCTTTCTCTCCCTGACTTACTTCACTTAGAATAACAGACCTCTAGGTCTGTCCATGTTATTACAAATGGCCAGATCTCATTCTTTTTTCTTTTTTTTTTTTTAAAGATGTAGTAACATTGCATCGTCTATATATACTACATCTTCTTTATTCATTCATCTATTGATGGACATTTGGGTTGCTTCCATATGCTGGCTATTGCAAATAATGCTGCAGTAAACATAGGGTGCATATTCCTTTTTGAATTAGTGTTTTTGTTTTCTTTGGGTAAATACCCAGTAGTGGAATTACTGGATCGTAAGGTATTTCTATTTTTAATTTTTTGAGGAACCTCCATACTGTTTTCTATTGAGGCTGCATCACTAACAGGATGGTGGTTCCTTTTTTTCCACATCTTTGCTCATTGTTATTTCTTGTCTTTTTGAATCTAGCCATTCTGACTGATGTAAGGTGATATCTCATTGTGGTTTTGATTTGCATTTCTCTGATGATTAGTGACATTGGGCATCTTTACATGTGTCTGTCGGCCGTTCTGTGTCTTCTTCTTGGTCTTGTGTGTGCGTGTGTGTGTGTGTGTGTGTGTGTGTGTGTGTGTGTGTGTTTTAAGTAGGCCCCATGCCCAACATGGGGCTTGAATTCACAACTCTGACATCAAGAGTCATGTGCTCTACTGACTGAGCCAGCCAGGCTCCCCTTCATGTATTATCATCTTTAAGAACTGTCTATTCAGGTCCTCTGTCTATTTTTAATTGGATTATTTTTTTGTGTGAGTTAGATTGTATAATTTCTTCATATATTTTGGATATTGACCCGTATTGGATATGTCATTTGCGAATATCTTCTCCCTGTAAGTTGCCCTTTTGTTTTGTTGCTGGTTGCCTACCCTGTGCAAAACCTTATTTTGGTGTCATACCAATAGTTTATTTTTGCTTTTGTTTCCTTTGCTTGAAGAGACATACTTAGAAAAATATTGCTGCAAACAATGTCAAAGAGATTGCTCCTATGTTTCCTTCTAGGATATTTATGATTTCATGTTTCATATTTAAGTCTTCAATCCATTTTGAATTTATTTTGAATATGTTGTAAGGAAGTGGTTCAGATTTATTCTTTTGCAAATAACTGTTCTTCCAACACCATTAATTGAAGGGACTGTCTTTTCCCCTTCTTACTTCCTTCATCAATATTTTAAAAGTTTATTCATTTATTTTGAGAGAGAGAGAGAGAGAGAGAGAGAGGAAGAGGCAGACAGAGAAGGATAGAGGGAACCCCAAGCACTATCAGTACAGAGCCCAACGTGGGGCTTGATCTCATGAACTGGAACCTGAGCTGAAATCAAGAGTTCGATGTTTTACCGACTGAGCCATCAGGTACCCCAACATCTGTAATTTTCTTCTTCCAAGTCTATATGTTTCCAAGAGCAGCGGAGCATCTGTATCATTCACTGTCCTCCAGTACAGAGGGTGCACTAGCATCTAGAGGACACGGCATACACATTTGTTGAAAAAATTATCCTTTCTTACATGTTGGAAGAGAAAGGCTGTCTTATAGTGGCTGTATCCACAGGATATAGCATTTCTTTTACACTTTTCACAACTGTTATATAGCCCAGAATCCTCACTAATAGGTGAACAGTATCGTGAGGGAATGGTGTGAAGAAATTGTACACGTTGCCCCATGTCTTTTCCATAAGATGTCTGAATGTCTGATGGAAAACTCTTTCAAAGGGATTAAAGTTTTACATTAGGCAAGATTTTCGCAAGTTTTACAGCGGAGTCCTCCAACTAATTCAAAATTAGTGTTGGGAGTGGGTGGGGTGGAGGGGGTAAGAAAATTCAAAATCCCAATATTTTGCATCAGCCACAAGCCAGCCTTTCCCATCAATTCACATAATGTAATGGATCTTCCTGAAAAAGAAAAGAGAGAAACAAAAATACATTAGTTTAAGAATTTTTGTTTATATTTCCTAGAAGATACAGTAATATAATTCCAGGCAGGATGTTCAAAGTATGCCAATGTTTTAAAGTTTAAACAGACATTTAGACAACAAAAATGAAAAGAAAACCATGTGCGTGAGAAGGTTACATATTTTATAAAATGCTCTCACCTCTGAAGTCTTTCAAGGTTCAAATATTCAATAAAGAGTCATTTTCTTGCATGTATTCCAAATTCAAGATATGTTATGTTTGTAAGTCAGTATTTCTCTGTGATCATTTGTATGGTTTATACATTACATTCCTAATGGCTATCTTGTTTCCCATCTCCATTGCATTAGGTTTGTGTCTCTTTTACGGTATTTGTGGTATTTTTACTTAATTCTATAGCATTGTAAGCATGCTTTATTTTCTGTGCTAACTGATGACCCTCATCGTTTGAGGAAGGCTCATGTGACTGAGTGTCACATGGCACCCGGGCCCAACCCAGAACTCACTTCTCACTTAAAATGGAGAAAGGCCCTTAGGCTGATGTCCGTGGCTGAATAAGAAATTGTTTTCTAAAGCTCATACTGACCTTCCATATTAAATGTGGATTTGCAGCATGAAGAATTTGCAGTGATCACACATATCTCCATCTAGCCTCCAGTGGCCCTCAGCCAGCCACCTCAGCATAGATGGGAAGCTGAATATCCTATAGGGTTTATAGGGAAAGACAAGCAGAGAAACCTGCGACTTAGATGCCCTCCCTAATGATGCAGATCTCACCAGGAATCAACACGCCTTCCCTTCCATAGCTTTGCAGACTCATCTTTTCTTGTATATTGTACAAAACAAAAGTTATTGCAAGACCAAGTTCCTGGACTTTCTAGAATTGGCAAAGTGCATGATGAATGAGATGCACTAAATGAAATGATGTCTTGCACTTCCATATCCATGTCATGTAGTTTTTTCTGTCTGAGGAAACTTGAAACATTCTGAAACATTTTGATACATACGTTAATAATAATGTATTAATTGTTATGATTTAGTGTAAAGGGAAGGCTGCTTGATAACTGCTTGGAAAGAAGAGGAGCCCAGGAACTGTTCTATGATTCAGTCCATTAAGTGTTTTTCTGGATCTAAATTTGTGTCTCTGGGCTCCAGAAAAATAATAAAATGGGAAAACTGAAGATAAGTATTACCAAGCATGGTGGCCATGGGTGGTAAGAAAGAGTCACTTACAAAATGCTGTAAATTTTTCTTTTTATATATTTGTAATTTAACCAAGGGATCTCTTTTGTCAGTGTCTATGCCTAGAAGAAATCATCAATGTGTGATTGGTGCCTGTTCAAGAAAAGGCAAACAACTTCCGGAGAGCCAAGCTGAGCTTTAGAAAACCATTCTCCTCTCAACTCTACATTGTTGTAAATGTTTATTTGCATCAGTCTTTTGCATCTCTGTCCCCTTATTTACCCAATATAAGGGTCTCCTTGCTTCTTTGTGACTTTGGATTATTTATTTAGTTTTTTATTCCCATAGACTCATCAACTCAACCACCCATTCCACTCACCATCCAGCTTCCTACTTTTTTTGTTTGCCTTTTCTTACCCTGTTTCTACATATTATTGTGCAAGCCCTTATATCACATCATCTATGAGATTATTCTCCATGACCTATGATTCTTGGTTAATTTTTAGCAGATTTATCTTAGAAACTTTGGTCTTTGTATTGTCTATTTAGTGTTTCTATGTTTCAGTTTGGGTTTTGATCGTGGATCTGCCCACCTTTTGACCTCACCCATCATTCAGCTTTCTACTTTGGTTGTTTGTCATGAGATGTTCTGTT